CTCCTCCTCCTCCACCTACTTATTTTTCTCCTTCTCTCCTCCTCCTCCTCAACCTCCTTCATCGTTGTCTTTTTTTTTCTGTCATCCACATACACTACCAGTAAGTCCTCCTCCACCTCCTGCTCCCCCTCCTCCGCCGCCTCCTTTTCTCTTGTTTTTCTCTCCTCCTCCTCCTCCTCCTTCCGTCTTCTCCTCCTTTCGTCTGTTCGCTTTCAAGTCTCTATCTTCCTCCTCCTCCTTCCTCTCCTCCTTCCTCCCCTCTCCCCCCCCTTCCTCTCTTCGTCTTCGTCACCTCCTCTTCCTCCTCCTCCTCCTGTTATCTTCTTCTACTTCCTCCTCCTCCTCCTCCTCCTCCTCCTCCTCCTCCTCCTCGTTCTTCCCTCCTCCTCCTCCTCCTCATTTCATCTGTTTCGTTTTTCAAGTCCCCTCTCCTCCTCCTCCTTCCCTCCTCTTCGTCTTCCTCCTCCTCCTCGTCTTTTTCTACCCTCGTCCTCCTCCATATCTTACCGCCCACCATCTCCCATATCTGCCAGTCATATTGTACCGGCAGACAGCAGCTTCTTCTTCTTCTTCTTCTTCTTCTTCTTCTTCTTCTTCTTCCCTTATTCTTCTTCTACTTCTTCTGCTTCTTCTTCTCCTTCTATTTCTCCTCCTCCTCCTCCTTCTTCTTCTTCTTCTTCTTCTTCTTCTTCTTCTATTTCTCCTTCGGATATTTTTACTCTCTTTTTTCCCGCGCTGTTGGTCCTTGCATCCTCTACTTACACGACACTATGGCGGGCGGTGGTGGCGGCGTTGGTGGGTCTGGAAGGACGAGAGGCAAAACGGCAGCAGACAAAGGAAAAGGACATGTTGCAAGCACCTCCACTACACCCTCATCGACAGTGACCTCCAAAGATCCCCATTCTTCCCCCTCCCCTCAAACTCCTCCCCTCCCTCCCCCCAACCAGCCTCCCAACACACGTCTTTCCCAAGTTTCTCTGCGGATTTGGGCTCCTCTCAGCGAGCACAGTCCAAACCCATCTTCAAAAAAAAAAAAAAACAATTCCTTGGACGTTTTTTGGCTCGTCTGGTTTTGCCGGACGGACCCCCCCGGTCCGTCTGGACCGGGCGTCGGCCTAACCCAGAAAAAAAGGATATGGATAGATTACGCTTCGAGACCGACCACTCCACAAAGCTTTGACAACGCTCACCCCCTGAACGATGTTTTTATGTTTGTCTTTTTCCTCTTCTTCCTACTTAACACCCAAAGAAAAAATTTGATGGCAACCTGGTCAAACCAGGTGAAGTTGTAAACCATTAAAACCATAAAGAAACTGTTGCAACAGCCCTCCCATTCCTCCGTACCGTATGTACATTTCACCAGCGCACTAAGGGATCTGGCCGCGCCACTTGCCAACAAACATTGTGAAACCTGGCTGGGAAATGTACTAGTGGTTTCAACTTTGGCAGGGTACTACAGCAGTAGTCCGGTTGCCTTATTGATCCAAGAAAAAAGTATGCGGGCTGGAGGATGAAATGGAGCAGCAACACAACAAAAAAATGAACAGCGCCATGGGATTTAGGTGTTCCTGGCAGTTGCAGAGTTACTTCAACAACATACCGAACGATCTCCACATTCCATTTGATACGTCGTCATGCAGTATCCACATCACAATTGACACACCATCATTCAATATATACACGGGGATGCGGGAAGCTCGTGCTCAACTTCATCAATGTGGCGATCCTTGTATGTGAGAGGCACGTGCAAGGAATATGAGTGTGAACGATATACAGAAATTTCAGAAAACCAAGTTGCGAAATAACACAGATGTCCAGGTAGTCGTGTCCAAGCAGAGAGTACAAAATGCACCGAGAAACCATCCATATAAAGCAACACAATGAAGTAATGAGCCAATGTTCAAGCCCGTAGGCCACACCAACACAGTATCCAAAGTCGCTCCTCTCTGTCTGGCGCCCAGCGCCCCAACCTACTCTGCCCGACTATCCTACCTACAGCTGGTTCACGCAACAGGCTCACTTCTACTCTCGAAGACCAATGTACATGACTGTCAACTCCATAGTCGACCTCTCTTCATGCACCAGGTACGTATCTCGTCACCCTCAATCAGACCTTGATTACCCCACACTCGCCTCCTTCCCTGAAGACCACTAGATTGCCCGCTGCACCCCCTGGTGCCCAGCAGCCCGGCTATGGCTGCCTGCGCCCCGCTGCCCTGCAGCGCCCCCCCTCACCACTACGCGCCCCGTCAGCGCCTTTGGCAGCAGCGCAGCATCAAGCGAGAGCGCAGCAGCACTTCCACATTGCCAGCACTGGCCAGAATGCCTGGCCTGGGCTGCCTCACTTCTTTTATGGAAGTGGAAGCCTCCTGGATGCTGCGTGTGGCCTGGCTGGAAGCTTCCAGTAGCTCCCGGTTGGGCCTCAGACCCTGCGCCCAGGCCCGAGACTACAGTTGAGGGTCTGGGCCCTCTTCAGTTGGGCACGGCCTGAGTCTCCGGACTTGGGCTGTTTGCTGCATCTTTGCAGGGCTCCCAGCCAGGTGCGTAGGCAGTACTGCTTTTCCAAATGTATCGGCCCTGGTTTGTGTGTATGTGCCCAGGCGCAACTGTCAAGGCGTGGGCCAACTGTATGTCGCAGCTTACTGAGGCTCACGCGTCTACCCAACCAACTGGCGTGCTGCGAGAGCCTGAATACCCACATATGGAAATGTCGAATTTTGGCCTCTGACGAATATTCAGGCCCGCCTTCACCTAGGGTGGGCACTCAGCTTGCTGGGGGCCTCAGCCCAAAACATGCGATGTCTGATAGGGCCCCTTGCGGGCTCGTTCCTCACACATGGTGAAGGGGGAGTTAAAAGATGAATGAGAAAAATGAATCGTTTCAGTGTGCCCCTCATATTGGTCTTGTTTTTTTTTCTTTTTTTTTCTTTTTTTTTCACCGTTTGTTCGCAAAGTGCGCTCTTCTTTTGGTTCGTAGTACGTAGATATGTGACAACATATTCACAACACAATTGACACTTCATCACTCAATAGAATCAATACATATCCACAACTCACCAGAAAAAAAAAAAAAAAAAAAAACAACAACAACAACAACAACAACAACAACATAATATCAATATCCACATCACTGTCCAACAACAACATCCATGTCACTGACACACACACGAAGTGGATTTGTCACAGCCCCTCGTTTGTTGTCCTCTTCTCCCCCTCTGCCTACGGTTTACCGGGCAGCTCGGTTTGACGACATACATGTATAGGCAGGGAAAGCTAGCGCAGACACTACACTGTCAATTGGTACCTGCTTGCTCGTTACTGCAGCTAGAAGGGTGCTGACTGCTTCATTCGCTGGCCCTTTCTGAGGGGGGGTCATTACCACCAGGGCGCCATTCCGCCCCACGCACTCGATGAGCTCCTGGGTGTCCGCCGAGTTCAGGTCCATCATTTCCACCCCTGTTTCCGTCTTTGTGATCCCTCTGGCCAGGGCCTGCAAGAAATTGTCACGACACACAGATGAGTGACGATAAGCCAGGGCAGGCGCTGTGTTACACAGAACAAAGAGAATGGTCAAAAACACATGCAAAGGAGGTGGGGGTGATTCTTCTCAATAACGACTGCAACATATCCTCATCAGGTCATCCATCCATGACAACGGGGAGTCGTCAGGCCCAAAACCCGTTTTTTTTCCTTTTTTTCTCTTCTTAAGCTGAAAACACTAGCTGCAAAGAGATGGCCTCGTGCACCAGTCTCTGCCACTCCGCTCTGCGGACGAGTATCGAGGACTTAACCAGGTTTCCCCTTTCTGCTTCTCTTCTCCTCCCCCCACTCTGCTAGTCCTCTTCCCCCTCCTCTCCCTCCTGTTCCCTATCCATCCATGACGACAGGGAGTCGTCAGGCCCAAAACCTTTTTTTTTCCTTTTTTTTTTTCTTAAGCTGAAAAAACTAGCTGCAAAGAGATGGCCTCGTGCAGCAGTCTCTGCCACTCCGCTCTGCAGATGAGTATTGAGGACTTAACCAAGTTTCCTCTTTCTGCTGCTCTTCTCCTCCCCCCACTCTGCTAGTCCTCTTCCCCCTCCTCTCCCTCCCGTTCCCTTCCTCCCCCTCCTCTTTCACAACAAGTAAATGCATAAGAATTAGGCTCACTACAAGGCTCACTACAAGAACAGAGAAAACATAAGGTGCAGGTGTGCTGAAAAGCAAACGGTTGTGTATGCATCCCACGCCTAAGCACACAGGCGTAGTGACCCTTGCACCTTTCAGAATACAAAAACGAAACGGCCGACTCACAAAACATTGCACACGCATCAAAACATCACAACCATTTAAGAAATCGAACGTAACTTGAAACAAGATTATAAAGTAAGGCTTTTTCAATTTTGGATCTTCTCACCTGGGTGGGAAAGGGGTTGTTATGGTGACAGAGTCCACACACACACACACACACACACACTTGCAGCAGAAAACTCAGAGGTCTGGACTCACATGCAATGGTTTGAACTTCAAAGTGTGAACACAGCACAGGATCGCATGCAGTAGACCAAGTTCTGACTGATACATACATAAAATGAAGGAACAGCCTGGCAGCTAGGCTGGTCTCCAGAGTATGTCCATAATAAGCCACTTACATATCAGAAGGGGTACACGTGGATTTTTCAATCCTTTTCGACCCAACTACGCCGCAAACGAAAACGAGTTCCGAATAGGCAAAAACAACACGTACCCACTGGTCACTCAGGCGCCAAGTTCGTAAAAGCAATAAAAAAGCAGCACGGCAGTTTCTTTTTTTTTTTTTTTTTTTTTTTTTTTTTTTCCAAACAGAACCTCAGGGTTCCGGCTCCTTTTCCATTCTGGGGAGCATCAGACCGGTTCCTATTCCACCGGCAAGTCAGAAAGGATTACAATAAGTACTCACTCACGCTCCTCCCCCTCATGGCGTGGAGACCCAAAGGACAGCATCGATTACTTCCCGAAGGGAATGCACGGCAGTTTCTATTAAGTGCGGATGTCGTTTTTCCCGGGTCGGCCCGCGGTGTGTGGAGCACCGAAGTGCAGAAAAAAAGGACAACAAAACAAAACAGCTATTTTAGTATTTTTGCTATTTTGGTTATTCCAAACTGCCGCCACCACAAAAACACATTTAGTGTTTGTTTTTTTTGCCTATTCCAAACTCAAACCATGACTCAGACATAGCCGTTTCTTTCTTTTTTTGTGAAGGTATGTTTCTCGTCTTGCTTTTGTTTTAAAGGTAAAAGATGGAAACCGGGTCCATCGTTCCTTGCATACATTTACTCACACCACACTTTCCCCCATTATGGTTGGAGGAACGTGATACAGTGCCATTGATTGGGGTACCCGTGGAAAATGTCCAAGGATGTTTCCCCCAACACCAACTGTTGTGTCTCATGCCCCTGCAGAAAAGAGCTCCAAGGATCAAGCCATGGACAGTAACACTCCAACAAAACTAACTTAAAGAATGCAATTCCTGCAGTATAATATATAAGTATTATAAGATAAATAATAAGATATAACAATAATCAGAATATGTTGTAATGATGTAATCATCAATATTTTTTATGATTTCAAAGTGTGAACACCGCACATGATCTCATGCAGTTGTTCTGAGTCTTCTGACTGATACATAAATGAAGGAACAGCCTGGCTGTTAGGCTGGTCTCCAGAGTATGTCCGTAATAATGTCCGTAATAAGCCAAGTATAAGAACGGGTACACGTGGATTTTTCAATTCTTTTCGACCCAACTTCGCCGCGAACGAAAACGAGTTCCGAATAGGCAAAAACAACGTGTACCCACAGGTCACTCACGCGCCAAGTTCGTAAAAGCATTAAAAGAAGCACGGCAGTTTCTATTAAGTGCGGATGTCATTTTTCCTGGGTCGGCCCGTGGTGTGCGGAGGACCGGAGTGCAGAAAAAAGGACAAAAAAACAAAACAGCCAGTTTTGCTATTTTGGTTATTCCAAACTGCCGCCCCCACAAAACCCCATTTAGTGTTTGTTTTTTTGCCTATTCCAAACTCAAACCATGTTGTAATCATCAAAAATATTGATGCTTACAACATATTCTGAATTTCTGATTATTATTATATCTTATTATTTATCTTATTATACTGCATGAATTGCATTCTTTAAGTTAGTTTTGTTGGAGTGTTAACATTACGTTACATCAATTGGACAAATACATATATGAGACCCTAAAGGAGCAATACGAAAAGCACGAAGTGGCAGATGCGAGCTTTCGACATCTTAGCTATGTGCGATACGCAGATGACTTTGTAATAGGCATTACCGGATCATGTATCTCCATTGCGTCAGGAAGAGGGCCCGTAATGCCTATCACAAAGTCATCTGCGTATCGCACATAGCTAAGACGTGGAAAGTTCACGTCTGCCACTTCGTGCTTTTCGTATTGCTCCTTTAGGGTCTCATATATCGTCACAAACAGAACTGCCCGGTAAACCGTAGGCAGAGAGAGAGAAGAGGACAACAAACGAGGGGCTGTGACAAACTGTTTCGTCGGAGTTTCACCTACTATGTATTTGTCCAATTGATGTAACGTAATGTTACATAGTAGAGGCGTTCGCAGCTATTTTGTCTTGAGAAATATGCCAAATAAAAGCATAAAATATAGTTAATTCTATCACACCATAAATAGGTAAAACACACAAAAACTGTAACCAAATGTCTAGAGGAGTATTAAAAAAAGCTGCTATTAAGACTCAGAAAAAGAGAAAAGAACGATGACTTTTGATACAGGTTTGTACTGAAATACGTGGATTTCTTCTTCCTGATGATCTTCACGGATGTTCTCCACTTCCCAGTGATGGGAGATTTTCTCTCCTGTTGAAAAGAAAGGAGATATCTCAACAGTTATCCCCCCCCCAAAAAAAAAAAAATGCAAATCAAAACCAGCCCAACACAAATAACCACAGACTCAACCTGATTGGACCACTCGCATACTCCGTGGGCACGATGATACTCTCATGCAAGGAACATGAATATCAGTCTTCTCCAAAAAGCATAACTATTTGCAGAACTCTCGAAGCACAGCCCGGCTTTGCTTAGCACATCAGCTAAGCATAGGTGAATGTCAGATTTTGTCAATCTGTGGGTGGAAGCTGGGAAGTCGATGCCACAATGGTACGAGCGATCATCTCATGGCGGCCTTCGAATCTCAGATCCATCTTACCTTGATAACGAGAACAAGTCATGAAGGAATCACTTGCTATAAAACCCATCCTGCATGATGCACATTTGCCAAATATCTGGATAAAGTAAGGGGTGACGGGGATGCATGTGAGCGGTTACCATTATGGTACTCGCAAGGGTATAGTTATATTTCAGAGGGTATATTCTTGTATTTCAGATGGTATTACATTGTATTTCAGATGGTATTATATTGTATTTCAAATGTTATCCAAGGGGTAACGAGGTCACATGGAACAGGTACAATGGGATTTCTGAGGGTATCGTAACTATTGTTGTATTTACGCTTTCCCCCATGAGAACTCTCTATGTCCGAGTTTGTTACGATTGACAGAAGTGGATTGGTTTGCCGCTTGGCCTTATGTTTCGGTGGGATCCATGAACTTCACCATCGACAGAATAGCTCTCGAGGCAGAGTATTATGTTGTATTTCGGAGGGTACGCGCGGCGGTTCAGCGGCATCATACGCCACGTACCTGGATATTGTTATCATGTTTGCAAAACATCGGTTGGAGTATATATGTCATTCCCTGAGGTTGTAAGCATGGTGGCGTAGTAGATCTCTGACTCGGGGGTGCAATAACCATATAAACCGTACATGTACAGACAGGGCTGTTGCATGGGAGATGGAAGTGGAGACGGGGATTGTCTGCACCGAAGAGGGACCTCTGATGGCAGACTGCACCATGAATAAGTTGATCATGATGACGATGATGAAGGGGAGGGTAAGTAGAACAGGAGGCAGCCGACGGGGGGGATGGCGTACCAGAAGATGCAGATGAGAGTGCCAGTGGTGGTGGCCACTGGCAAGGAACCAGTAGGGGGGGAAATCAGTGGGGAAGAGGGCAGCAAGTGATTAGTCCTTACATCGGATCGACCACTCAGCTTTCTTTCTTGTAGGTCACCTACAGGATTGGACTGCAGCCATTCTTCAGTCTATGGCAGCAATGATTCAGCAACGACAACAATGGTAGGGTGCTGGCAATCACACCCTGCAGCCACTTCGACAACATTCATGTTTGTCTGCTACAGCGGCCAGAGTTCCTATGGGGACTGCAGCATCCACATTAGAAATTGCTCAGTCTTTGGTGGTAAATGGGGATGGCAGGCCCGTTGTGTGTGGATGCGTGGAGAACTGATGTTGCCTGTGCTCAGAATTGACATTCAGCAGCGAATGGGCAAGCGACAAGTGAACCGTGCGGCAAAACCAGTTCCTAAGCCAGGGGACATGAGCGGGCAGACAACATCCCCGCCCACACGCATAGGCAGTCCAACCCCTGGCCAGGGCATTGGGGCAATGGCCCCTAGAGAGCATACACCACGTCAAGGAGAAGGTCCATAACACTAGGTGTTCGCATTCCTTACAATGTGGCTCTCTGTGATAAGTAAACCTCAAGCTACATTGTGATTTTGAGTTCGCCAATTCAAGGACGTCCCCGCAGCCTTTGAGGTCGGCAGAACTGTTACAGATATGCCCGAACCGCGTCATCTGTCCAAAGAGCATACCTGCAGGCTGATGAGATAAGGGCATTGGAGGAAACATTGGGATTGAAAGAGCCGTGGCCTTCGGCCTACACAGAGGGGCGTACGTGCATGACCCGGAATGTCCATGTCTCAGCCTTATCAAACCCGTAAATGCGAAGCGCGTCGTTGCCGAAACAATATTCTTTCCCCCGGCAGAGACTTGAACCATTGTGCTCCATAATATATTTTTCCCACTTGAGACCATACTGATCAGGAGGTGCTGGAAAATTATTTCAGGATAGGACGTCATCACTGAACCGATACGTAAATCATGGTAAATGCTCATTCTTGTGCTGTGTGTAGATGCCCGCTGACAAAGTGCATCGATGAGCTGTACCTCATTCCAGGAAAGCGTAAGATTGGCAATCTGTGGTCCACTGTTAGTGCCCGTAGGGATGTCGGCCACCTGATGGCACAAAACGTCAACCGCTTCATAGAGCTAAGCGCTAGAGACCAGAAACCACAGATGCTGCTCTATGTCCAACATTGTGAGAGTGGGGACGGGATGTGAGGTAACCCACTCCCCACCATAAGGACCACCAACCGTCATGTACGTTTGTGCTCGCCTCCTGTCCTGTGGAATCACCTCTAAGGCATAGCCATTTGCCTTATGAGCAGCGTTTAGTACATCATTATGTGAGTCCGTGTGTGTACGCGCTTACTTCCTCTTCCTCCATTTTCAGTGCTTGTTACATGTAGAGTGTCCTCATGCGCCAATCACTTCCCTGTCGACCATCAGCCTCTTAACTGGCAGTCCTGATGAAATGTTTGTTTTGTTCCTTTCCCTACGTAGGAGATCAGGGTACATTACCCAGCCAATGTGTCTGAACAGTACACTTGTGACTGTCGATAAACAGATCATGAGTTCAAATCCCGACATCATCAGATGGATACAGCTTAGTACACCCTTTAGAAAAAGGAAACGGAGATCGGGCTACACCACTCACTTCAGCACAAGAGACTGGTTGATTTACCTGAGAGAGGCGATCGCTGTAGCCATAGTCGGAGCAATAAAGGACTGCAACACTGGCACTTTGCTTCTCAACAGCGTCTTTGCTCCAATTCGCATACTTTCCCACCAGCTCGTCCACGTTGTACCTTAGCAGCGGCCCATGGCCGACTGCGATCGTGTTGAAGCTCATGTCTGCAGTCCTCTTAAGAGCTGATAGCACTGACTTTGCATTGGGCCTCATAAGGCAGTCATAGTAGAACCGGTAGTGGGGCTCGATTTTTGGCAATTCCTCGTCATAAAGCTGCAAGTCAGATAAACCCACAACTGTGTGTCAGACAGTTATGTCAGTGCATATGTGGCGGTGCGAAGATGGATAGATAGCCGACGTTTCAAAACTGAATCAGGCCTACAGCACAGACACTCAGAGCATCCATGACACTGTCCGACCACAGAGAGAGAGAGAGAGAGAGAGAGAGAGAGAGAGAGAGAGAGAGAGAGAGAGAGAGAGAGAGAGAGNAGAGAGAGAGAGAGAGAGAGAGAGAGAGAGAGAGAGAGAGAGAGAGAGAGAGAGAGAGAGAGAGAGAGAGAAGGGTGTAGGGGCTGGACACAATTGAGCACTGGCCGACAAGAGAGGCATAACGGGCAGAATCATGCAATGTAGAGTAGAGGGAGGGAGGTTATAGGAGAAAGGGGCCCGGGAGATTGTCAACCAAACAGGAAAGCAGAGAGCCAGTGCTTCAAGGGAAAGATGGAGAACAAGTGGAAGCACAAGCTATTGAAGTGAAAAGAACCAGATTAAACCGAAGACAAAGCAATAGAAAGCACCAAATGACAGTCAAGATAGACACAGAATGAGAAGATAAGCAGGCAAGAAGAAGGAAGTAAATCACTATGAAAAGTTGGAAATTATGTCATTACAACTATTATTACTATTTCTGTTGTCATTGTTGTTGTTGTTGTCATTGTTGTCGTTCTTGCTGTTGTTGTTGTTGTTGTTGTTGTTGTTGTTGTTGTTGTTGTTGTTGTTGTCGTTGTTGTTGTTGTTGTTGCTGCTGCTGCTGTTATTCCTTCGTTGTTCTTCTTTGTCCTCCTCATGCTGCTGCTCGTTGTTCTCTCTGCCAATGCTATGATGGCCCTTCTTGCTGATGAGCCTGTATCAGGATGTCTGTTTTGAACTCCTTAGCTTTCACCGCTACCCCCAGTACCCTGGTGTGTTCTTTGAGCCGTTTATAACTTTATATCCATACGGCAGTATGTTCAAGACGGCAAACAGATTGAGAAGTGACCAAAGAAAGAGAAAAGTAGGGGGGGAAAGACATAAAAAAAGAGGTGATCGAAAAAAGAGGCAAGTAGGAAAACAATAAAAAAAGCAAGAAAAAAGGAGGAGAATCAATGTTTGTGCATTCTCGGGTAATCACTTCCCTTTATGTCATCCTCTACGCCTTCCATTCACTGGTCCTCTCTCTCTCTCTCTCTCTCTCTCTCTCTCTCTCTCTCTCTCTCTCTCTCTCTCTCTCTCTCTCTCTCTCTGCATGGGTCCTGGGGACCAACTCACGCAGATGTGCATACATCAAACATCGACTTCACACTCAATGGACACAGTTGCCACACACGAGACAAAGGTAGATGAGAATAGGACCAAGACCCGTCACTTATATTATCAAAAATTATGATTACAATGAGTTCACAGTTCCCTGAGTCAACGCGCTTCAACGAAATACCAATCCCACATCAGATACATCAATACCACCTTCGTCACTTGCTTCTAGCTCAGGTAAGTGTCCTCCATAACCAGACCTTGAAAGAACA